AAGGGGGGAAAGGAAGTTTGGGGGGGGGGGGGGAAAAAAGCACTAAAGCATCTCTCAGTTGAGTGGAGCGCTTCTCCAGATAATCTCATTTACATGCTGAAAGCAAGACAGCGCTTCACCTGAAACCCTTCGTCGCTCGGAGGGGACGTGATCAACAACTGGGGCGGCTCCAAGGTCCTCCGCCAGCGTCTCCAGAGCCGGGCGGGGCGGCCATTCTCCTCTCACCCACGATGCCAACGCTATGTTGCTAAAGTGGGGTTTCTTCCCCCTTCTCTCCAGCACCATCAGGAAGCCAAGCTACTGCCGGGATTTGGTCTTCGATTAAACCCGCTCCCTCCCACGGGGAGGTTGGGTTGCCAACTCTGACCGAAGCTATTACAGATTTTTTTCCTGATGTGAGGTCAGGTCATGAATTGCACTGTTCAACCCCTCCGGGACATCAATCTCCTGGATTGCTTTCAATAGTCACCAGGAGATCAATGCCAATTCTGCCAGCTGGGGACAGTCGGCAAACCTAGCGGGCAGGAGACCTCATTTGGCACATGCCCGAAGTGCGGGGATGGGGTTGGCCCGCCCCCTCATTTCTTGGGGGGGCTGTCAGACGTGCGCCCACCTGTTCCGATGCCGATGAGCAGATATGGGGCAGAAGGGCCCCCCACCCCAGCCTGGCCCTGTGCTGGGGACAGGGGGGTTCCAGGGACAGAGGGAGACAGCGCCCCCTGGCGGGCGCAGCCCCTCACCCCAGTGCGCATGCGCGCGCCGCCCGGCAGCCTCGGCCCTCACCTGTGCTCGGGTGGCCCTAGTGCCTCGCCCGCCGCCGCGTCCTCCGGCAGCAGCTGCACGAGGCCGGCCAGGTCCCCGCACTCCCAGGAGCAGCCGGCGGCCAGGCGGAGGGATGCGGGGGCGCTGCTGCTGTAGGCCGCGTCGCCGCTCAACGCCGCCGCCATCGCAACCGTCTCGCCAACCGCCGCCGCCGCGAGCCGCGCCGGGCGGAACTGATTTCCCGCGGGTGCGCGTTGCCTGCCGGATGTTCCTCGGAGCCGGACACTTCCGGCACGGGCTCTTCTAGGGGACGCGTTCAACCCGTTCCCGAGCGGCCGGCACAAGGCCGCATGCGCGGAATCGGTGCTCTCCCCCGTGATCGTGGAGGGGCGGTGCGCATGCGTGGAATCGGTGCCCTCTCTTCATATGGGAGTGGTGCGCATGGGCTGGAGGAGGGGGTTGCAGGGTACAGCCCTGAGGCAGGGAGATGGAGGTGGTTGTGGTGTGGGTGCACTCTGTAGTCTGCTGCGTGTGAATCCTTCTAGCCTTTCTTCTGTGACTGCAGGTGCTTGGGGCGCAGCACAACACTATAGAGCAGCAGCTCCCAAACTCTGACAGGTTGCACACCACCAGTTTAAAATGATGCAAGCTGAAGTACCTCCAGCAGATTTCTATCAAATAAAGTAGTTATAACAAGTCTATTAATGCGTACCACTGACAGGTTGTCTGTGTACCACGAGTGGTACGCATACCGCAGATCGGGAGCCACTGCTACAGAGAACTTCTATTGAGAACCTGGATAAATGAACAGGATTCGTGTGGTATCATTTGCAAATGTAATACGTTTAAAAGTTGGAAGGGATTGCAACCATTTTAGAAGACAAGGTTAGAATTCAAAATGATTTCCAAATTTCTAATGATCTCCAATTTTGACAAATAAGGAAAAACTACCTAAAATACCTGAGGGGAAAGAGTCTGACTGGATGCAGCTGCAAGTGCATGACATCGCTGTGCTCATGGTGTGGGTGGGTGACGCTTTCTCTGATGATGTTTTTATGTCATGAAGCGGTTTGATGAAGACAAGGGTTTTTGTCCTCAGACAGTGAGAGGCATGAAGGGTGCTGTGTCTGAGGGCATTTTGATGTTGTTGTTGGAAGGGGTGAGATGCTACTGTTTTCTCACCTGAGGATCTGTTGCCTCGTGTGCTCTGATTGTGCTGCTGTTGGGGTAACTGTTGAAACATCTCTCTGTTTCAGGACCAAGTCCTGCAGCATCTGGTCCCAGAAAGAGCCTTGTGGATGACTAGGCTAGTCCTTAGTACTCAATACAACTGTCAGTGTTACATGTAGTCAGTGACATTGCGATCTTGTGCAGGCATTCACAAGATATAAAGTTAAAGACGTGCACTGAACCTCTGGAATATCACGGCCCAACTGCCTGTCCCGGCCTCCACCCCACATCAAACAAGTTTTATAGGAATTACCACACTTCAGGGAGAGTCAGTGCTGTCTCTGTCCTGATTTTTAAGGATTTTAATTTCACAGCAAAATATAAAGATGACTTAATAGCGCCTCTCACCTAACAAGCTAAAGCCTAAGTCTAGACAGCTGTCTGGAGTCTCTGAACTAGAGTGGGGTAACTAAAAAAAAATGCCAATCTACCTGATGCTGTAGCTGACAACATATTTGCATAGCTGTAAAGACAAAACTGTACTCTGAGTGTGCCCTAACAAGTGTACACATGCGTTTTGCGGTGCTCCAAAGCAGTTTGAGGCACTGAAAATCACACGCGATATACGTGTACCCATTTGCCATACTGCTGACTTGCAGCATGGAGGGTTTTTTTGACACCAGACTATCTCAGTGTCAGGAAAAAAACCACCGCTGAAAAAAGTGGTGGGCCCACGGAGCAGTGTGCACTGCCAGAAAGGGAGCCTGGCAGGCGCTCTGGCTGCTGGCTAGGGTCCAAGCAGCCGGCTCAGAGCTGTTGCTGCCCCAGAAGGTCCCCAGCAACCTAGGTAAGATGCTGGCCCTGACCTTCCCTCCCCCACTTGGGTCACTTTGCCATATTCTGGACCGCACGTGCAGCGGTGTGCCCAGGGGCAAATAGCAGCAACACAAATATATGCTGCTGCTATTTGTCCTGCAGAAAATGCATACCCCTGCATGTGTGCGGTTGTGGGGATGTGCCCTTTGTGTGCCTTTGAAAGTGTTGTGTCACAAATGTAGAATAGCCCCTTTTTAAAGTCCCTGTTTACACAGGGTTTATCAGCAGTCAGGGCAAAATGAATCTTAGGATAACTAGTAAAACCTCAAACCAAAAGTATCTCTTTTTCATTAGGAAATGTTGTGGCAAGAAGATCCTACTGTTTAAACATAAACTTATACATTGTTTTCAAATACTTTGTCCAACCTTAAACCTTTTTCTTGAAACTTTTAATTAAGATGTGGCATATCAAAGAAATTATTTGCTCTTGGGAAAATAAAAAATGCCTCAAAATCACATTTTGATTAAAAGGCTTTTTTTTCCTTTGGAGGGACAAGTAGGTACACCATAAGTATATATTTTTTAAGATCTCGGGATTACATGGTTAATGCTTAAATGGTTTCAGTGTGTTTATATTTTCAAACAGTTTTACTGAAATAAAACTTGCATGCAGTTTTTAATTCAAAAGAAAAAAAGGCTAGACACTGAATTTACTGGTAGATTTTAAAGGTGCATTTTGATTGATCTGGCTATGACCAATACCAATACATCTGTCATATCAAGATAGCAATGTACTTTTCCTGTGTCATACTTAGACATTGTTTCTAATCTTCAGTCTCAAAGAAAGTGCTTAAAATGAACTGGTTCAATCTTGTCATCTTTACAATACTGTCGCTAGCTGGCTTCCTCCAATCAGCATTTAGGAATGCATTGCTTTTTGTTAGTTTAAGTCGCCTAACCAGTTTCTTGCGAGGTGAACTGAGAAATTTGACTTGCCCTTTCCTTTGGACTGTTGAAATATGCAAAGCACTTTTCCATTGTTTGCCTTAACGAAAGACAGCTCTAGATAACTTTCTTCTTTGTTCTGTTATTTAAGGGAAACTGCTGCTAACGGAAGTACAGCCAGGTATCTAGTATTTCCCTAAACTTCTTAGTAAAAAAAACAGCTTCTTGAAGATAGTTAGCCATGTTAAAATGGTGCCTTCTTGTGTTCATTTTTGGACTAACGCCTCTTGGAAATTGTGTGCTTACAGCAGGTGAGTTCCTAGCTTTGTTTTCTCGTTCAGAAAGTCAGTCCAAGTTACGTTGTCACGGGTGAGTCCCGGTCCAGTGCTCTTTACTGCAGAAAAAGTTGTGCAGTAGAAACGTATCTAAAAAGGGACTGTGGGATAATGCCCATAGTTTTTATCTTTTTCTGTGAGACAGGTGTGTACGTACAGTATGTTCTTTTGCTGTTTTGTTGGTCAGTGTACATAATTAGCAGGCTGACTTGTTTTACCACTTGGAAGGATGGAAATTCAGAGTACGCTGATGCCTGTCAGTGTTATAATGTGAATTTATGATTGGATTTCTTAATTTCACATTGAATCACAGAAGTGCTTAAATGATGGTATTCAAATCGTTGTCCTACGTAGTATACAAAGCAGTGTTTGTGAGAGGTACAATCATTGTAAACCTCATGGTATGGTGAAAAGTAAGACATCCTTCTGTGATACCAGGGAAATACCTCTTGAAAATAATTGTGCATTTTCCGTTTATTCATTTTCATTTAGGATTCATAGTAACAGATATACATATGGAGTATTTGTTAGAGGGCTACGTGTTTGTAGCTAGATTACAAGAATATGTTTGTACTCCCTTCCCTTCTATTACCAGGGTATAAATTAGAGCAGCATGTTTTAAAAATGACTTCAGTGTATATCCATGATCATACTGCAGGGGGTAAACCAAGGATGTTCCCCTCCAATATTTTGCTGAAAGTAAATTATAAGAAAATTCCATTTTATTTGACTTTTTAGGGTTACTGATGGCAAAAGCAGGAATATGCCTAGTAGTTGAAAAGAAATGCAAATGTTACTATGTTCTGTTTAGAGAAAGGTGTTCTTAATGTCAAAGTGTGATCCTACAATCCCGAGTTCTCAAACCTGCTCTGTTGCTATCTCATTTCTTGTATGGCTTCAGATAAGTTACTGAACCTGTCTGTGCCTCACATCCCACATCTGTTATATGTGGACAAAAATACCAATGAATCTTATGTAAGATAAGTAGTTTGCAAAATTTAATTTATCTTCAAAAGTCTTTATAAGCAGAAGAGCCCCATATACAATGAAGGCTAATTACTGGTATTTTGGAAACTGATTTTATGCATTAGCTATAAACAACTAATACATTAAAAAATCCTATCAGCAGTATATACCTCAAGCATGTTTCTTCACACCAGCTGCTTTATTTTCACTGGAGAGTCAATCTTATTTTTGTATGCGCACATTTTGGGCTCACTATTTTAAAAGCACTACAGGATATAGTAGCGGGGGAACCCCTCCGCACAAAATATGTTAAACAGCTCTTCTTCCTTTGAGTGAAGTCCCTCTATAAAGGGACTTCATGGGAAGAACCTCTCCACCCCCCCGTAAATTTTTAATGACTGGTGTGGTTTTGCCCCGTACCTGATGTGAAATCTTTTTTTTTTTTTTTTGCTTTATTATTTATGCAATTTTGGAAAGGGTTGCTTTATTAAAATTCATTTTATAGTTTACTCTTTTTGACTCCACTGATTTCAATGGTGGTCTTTCTGTTGACATCAGTGGGCATTAGATTAGAGTTGCTGAGCAGACAAGAGGAAGAGGAAACTAAAAACAAGTAAAATGTTACTATTTGTTCCCGTTTGTCATTCTGGAGTCATTGTCAGGTGTCACTGAGATAATTGTGAAAAAATACACAGGGTGTGTTAGGTTACAATACAAAGGTCATTGGCAGGAAATAAAATGAGCCATTAAGGCTAGTAATGCTAAGTGAGTGAGAGGGAGGGAGGCTATGCAATGGGCTGAGATAGCATAAGTTGCCAGGAGCAGTTATACAGGCTCCTGAAGACAAGGATGAGAGGTCTAAATTTGATCCAATGCAGAAAGGGACAACTGTAAGGAAGATTTAGATGGGAAAAAGAAATGACCTGTTCTTATTGAGTTCACAGAAAGTTACTTTTATTTATAATCACATTTGGTTGATGTCTTCTTTATGCTTAAGCCCACTATAAAGACATTTAGATTAAACTGGTCTATTCACGTCTATTTCTATAATGTTACTATATACTTATTCTAGCATA